ACACACACACACACACACACCACCCTACATCTAGACCTCTCTTTCACCCCACTCCATCCTTATCCCCTGCTCCCTTTCCCCCCATCTCTAAAATGACATTGCTAAAATAAACATCCTTAACTACCTGACTCATTTCTGTATGTAGGGTATATGTCGTTTCAACAGCGTGGCATTGTAACTCTTGGATGATTTCTAATAACAAAAATGTCAGATTTGTTTTTTAATTGAAATAGTTTTGTTGACACTAATCCACATACCATACAAATCAATGGCTTAAATATACTAAAAAGAGTTGTGAAACCCCTACAGTCAATTTTAGAACATTTTCTTTATTCTTGTACTCACCATTAGCTCCTCATTTCCTCCAACTTCTCCCGATTAACCCAAAGAAGCTAGTAATCCAGGATCCGTCGCTATGTATTACCTATCCTGGATTTTATATACAGAAACACACAAAAAAAATAAACTAACAATAACAACATAAAACAAAGGAAAATCTCAATTTTAAAAATGTTACAACAAGTTTAAAATAGATCAGATAAGGAGAACATGATAAGGTATTAAATTTTAATTTAACTACGTTTGCATTAGTCCACTTTCCAGTGCATTCTGTGTGAGCAAAGGTTATTCATATCACTGATAATGCCCAGAAAGGGTTCTCGAAAGCCTTATTCACACAGGGGCCCTGCAAATGGGTTTGGGGCGTTCACTGTCATCATAGCCTTTTGCAAACTGGGTGTTCAAAATTTAAGCTATAATACCATTTCCTCTTCTAGTCTTAAATTTTATTATTTATAATCCTTGAATCACACAGGCTGCTTTGCTTGTTCTGTGTCGGCTTACCTGACACCTCACATAGGTGACTGCTTGTTTTTTTGAAAGAAGCCCTTTAAGACCCAAGGCCCTTTTCTTTATGATAGCCACGGGCCACCTGAGTTTTTCACCACACTCTGCTGTAGCACCTAAATCTTAAGTGATCCGCAAGAAATGAGTAGCACTATGTCATAAGAACTAATTGTTCTTAGATCAGGTCTGTCATTAAGGGAGGGCTCAAAACCCATTAATAATACAGTATCCCGAGTGTATTTTAGAGACATCATTCTTTTGCTAAGGAGTGTTATAAATCACCCAAATGGGGCATAGGATAATTTTATTGATATTATTATTTTAGTTAATAGTAAAGAACTTGAAATACTGTTGAGAGAAGGAGAGCATACATGTACAGGATAACTGTTTACACTAAAATACATGGGCTGTTGTGAGATTCAAAACTTAAGTGATGATGCACTGTTTATGCCAACTATGAGGGTTAGAGACAGGACAAACTTTCAGCAGTGACCATTCACTAAGACAAAACTATACCTGTTGATCTAAGACATGTTATTATTTTTAATTTTAATAAATCTTTTTATTGGGAGCTCTTATGACTCTTATTCAGTATCTTATACATACACCAATTGTATCAAGAACATTTGTAAATACATATGTTGCCATCATCATTTCCAAAACATTTTCTTTCTACTTGTGCCCTTGGTATCAACTCCTCTTTCCCACCTCCACACCTCCACCCTTATGAACCCTTGATAATTTATAAATTATTTTATTTTTATTTTCATATATTACACCGTTTGCTGTCTCCTTTCACCTATGTTTCTGTTATTCGTCCCTTTGGGTGTGTGTGTGTGGGGGTGTTGTATGTGGATCATTGTGATTGGTTACCCCTTCCTCCCCCTTTCCCTCCATTCATGGTATCACTATCATTATTGACCCTGAGGGGTTATCTGTCCTGAATTCTGCGTGTCAAGAGAGCTCTTTTCTGTACCAGTGTGTACATGCTCTGGTCTAGACAGATTTGTAAGATTAAACTGGGGTCATGATAGTTGGGGGTGGGGGTGGGGGAAGGAAGCATTAAAGAACTAGAGGAATGTTGTGTGTTTCGTTGGTGCTATACTGCATCCTGGCTGGCTTGATCTTTCTGTGAAGGGCTGTCCAATTGTCTGCAGATGGGCTTTGGGTCTCCATTCCAACCACCCTCATTCTCATCGAAATGGTTCTTTGTTTTGGGTCTTCTGATGCCTGATACCTGTTCCCATCTACCTTTTGGGATAGCACAGGTTGGTGTACTTCCATGTGGGCTTTGTTGCTTTCCTGCTAGATGGCTGCTTGCTTAACTTCAAGCCTTTAAGACCCCAGATGCTATATTTTGTAATAGCCAGGCACCATCTGCTTTCTTAACCACAGTAGCTTATGCACCCATTTTGTCTTCACTGATAGTGTTGGAAAGGTGAGCACTACAGAATGCCAGGTTATTAGTATAAAGTGTTCTTGCGTTGAGGGAGGGCTTGAGTTAGAGGCCCAATGTCTGCTAAGATATGTTACTCCAAGAAAAAAAAAGCCGAGACTATGAAAATAGTATTTAAGTTTAGTTGAACACCCTCAAAACCGGAGATATGAACCAAAATTCAATGACTTCCATATCCTTGGGATAGTAATCTTCTGTTCTTTTCATTCTATGGAATTTCAGCCTTAAGCCCTAGGGGATAGTTCAATTCCTTTAATCTGCTAAAGGTGTATTTAAGGGCAAGTCTGGCTCACTTAGTGGGGTTTCCAAAGCAGTCCTTCTGGTGTGGCCTATGAAGGACGTGCATCTTGAAAAGCACTTGGTCTGGATCACCAAGGGCTGGATAGAAACTCGGCCCCCAAATGCCTCGTTTTAGGTACTTTTACCTACACAAACAAAAATTAACTCCAGATGAATAAATATGTAAATATGATAAGTAAATGTAAACGTAATAGAATGTGTATATATGTGTGTATACAGGTGAGTGAAAGGAGCCCTGGTGCTATAAGTGGTTACCAGTTGGGCTGCAATCCACATGGTTGGCAGTTCGAAATTACTAGCAGTTTGAAACCACCAGCAGCTCCGCGGGAGAAAGAGTGGACTTTCTACTCCTGTCAACCTTTACAGTCTTGGAAACCCACATGGGGTCATTATGAGTCAGCATGAACTCAGTGGTAGTGAGTTTCCGGTTTTTTTGGACTCGAGAGGGTGGGGGTGGGGACTTCGAAAAGATCAGGGGAAAAGGGAAAGTAAAGGCTGTAGCATTGACCAGGAGCACAGGGGCTGGTGCTTGTGCATGGGGCGGCTAACTGCAGGGTCAGCTGCCGCAGGAAGAGTTCCAGTCTCACAGGAAGCCCCAAGGCCGGGCAGGGCTGCTATGAGTCAGAATCAGCTCAAGGGCAGTGAGTGAATAGCATTGACCTTCGTCGGCTCCCCCGCCCCCTTTCCCCCGCGCTTGTAAAGTGCAGTAAGTTTGGGGAACCACTGGACTAAACCTTCCAGTTTAGTCAGATAATTTTCCGCCCTTTGCCACACATCCAATTCTTTGTTCATTTTGGCTTGTTGTTTTCCATTCATTTATCCCATGTATTCCGTGATGTACACTAATTTAGGTGCAAAAGGTTGGGTTTTCTTTCTGCTTTGATTAGTTTGGTTAGTGAGTGCAGTGGATCACTTGGCCTTTCTCCAAAGGGCATAACTCCTACCCAAGGATTGGGTGAAACTATGGGTATAAGGTGCTGTGACCCACCATGGGAATTGGGCAGCGTGCTAATCATGTAAATGAGGTATATGGAGATGGGGACATGCACATAGAAAGGGGGGGGTGTTCCACTGTCATCAGGAAGAGGAGATGGGAGTGAAGGATGTTCTTTGGGTTGCCACCCTGAGAACCTCCACCCAGGAGACCGAGAACTGAACTACGAGGAGACAGAAGTAGCAGTAGAGAAGTGGTGGCATCAGAGGCAGGAGACAACAGAATAATCTTCCTGGCCCCTGGAGCAAGAGGGGCTTTCGGGAGGATTGGGATGCTGGGCCCAGCAACCCCCGGAGCGAGGGAACTGAGCACTTGGAGGCCAAGGTTTGCTCAAGGAGTGGGATGGCTCCAGGCACTTTCTGGCCTCGGTAAGGAGCTTTTCTAACACTTGCCTAGAATCCATAGGTAGGGATCACGTGGCCCAAGAAGCCTGACAGGCTAAGGGGCAGAGAGTGGCCTGCCTGTGGACATAACTGAATAGAGGTGGCCCTGACAGAGCAACTGCATTCTGAGTTATTTGTTCCTGAATTATAATGATTACTCCCCAGCAAACCCCGCATTCATGAGTATTGTCTGAGCATTCTTTGTGCCAGTGCTATGAATTATTGAACCCAGCACAGAGTGCTGAGAGACGGCTGGCTGGGTTTTTCTGATTCCATGTCATAGGGCTGCTGCTGCTGGCTCTGCCCTCCTTCATGAAGTTAGAGGAGGTCAGATGTCTCTGCCACGCCATTTTCATAGCTAGATAGATGCTCTAAGATAACGGAAAACACCAGCTATTGCAAGAAGTTTTAAGTCATACGTTCCCACCTGATTTTGAGGGGTGAATTGTATTAGTGTTACATTAGTTGTAAGTAAATGAAACACTAGCTTACATTTTAATAATACTCTTTTCTTCATAGGGTCTCTATGAGTTTGAATTGGCCCCTTGGCAGTGTGCTTGTTTTTTTCTTTCATAAAATATGTAAGTAGTCTATGTAAATAATTATCGACTGTTTTTATGCACACTTGGGTTATTAATGAACATTAGAAGGGCACAAAAACATTCCCTGTAAGGATTGCTCTCTTGGCTTCAGGTCTCTTGTTTTTACCACTCTTCTGATATTATTTAGTTCACAGACTGAGTGAGACCCAAGATCTGGGCTTATTTGGCTTTGGTTTTATTTTGACTCCCTGTTAGTCTAGAAAATAATTTATGAAAACATTTTGGAACATTTAACTGATCTCTTTGTATCAAAATGCAACTTTCTATTTACATGCTTTAATTCATTAAGCACCATGGTATTTGAAATATAAATTTTGTTTTATGCCCTCTATGTTAAGAAGTGTACCTACTGTCAGTGCTTCTTCATCCACACCTCTGTCACCACCATCTACATCCTCATCGTCGTCGTCCCAGAAGCCATGTCCTACCCGGTGACCAGCCAGCCCCAGTGCGCCAGCAGCTGCTACCAGACCCAGCTCAGCGACTGGCACACGGGGCTCACCGACTGCTGCAACGACATGCCCGTCTGTCTGTGTGGCACTTTCGCGCCGCTGTGCCTCGCCTGCCGCATCGCCGACGACTTCGGCGAGTGCTGCTGCGCGCCCTACCTGCCCGGCGGCCTGCACTCGCTGCGCACGGGCATGCGCGAACGTTACCACATTCAGGGCTCCGTTGGGCACGACTGGGCGGCGCTCACCTTCTGTCTGCCCTGCTCCCTCTGCCAGATGGCCCGAGAACTGAAGATCAGGCAGTGACAGTGTGGTGCACCCTCCCCACCTAGGCCCACCCTCCCCACCTAGGCCCACCTGCCCCACTGGGCCTCCTCTGCCCCCTCCACCCCAGGCCCGAAACCAGAAGAAAACACCCACAAAAAAAAAAAAAAAAAAAGTGTCCCTACTATTATCCTTAAATACACTTGGTAATTAATGATGAGGGACCAGACCCATAACATCCAAGCCTACTGCCCTCGAGTGGGTTCTGATCCACAGCGACCCTGTGTAGGTTTTCTTTAGTGGAGTAGATTGCTGCATTGCCCTGCCACGGAGCCCCGGTGGGTTCAGCGGGCCCACTCTGCTGTTAGCTGTCCAGTGCTTGCCCAGCAGCACCACCAGGCTCTTCAGTAGAAGGAAGCAGAACTTTAAGCATGATGATTCGTGACATGTCATTGTATGAGACTGTCAGCTTGTCATACAATCTTAGCATTGAAGTTTGTGGGATTGAGGGTCAGGGAAATAGTATAGATAACCTGTTGTACAAATACTGCTGGAAGAGGGAAATGAACTCATTTGGTTTGCAGTGTGGGGGCACAAGAGTAGGAGATTTAAGAAAGTTGGGAAGAGGATGCTAACAAATTTCAATAGGGGACTAGGGCTGCATTTTGGGGTGGCTGGTCAGGAGACCCATCTGGGGGACGCTGATGAGTCCCAGGGTGAGATATGCTTTCTGGACAGTTCTGCCTTGGTCTGGGCTTCATCATTTGAGAAAAGGTTGTAAATAAAAGGTTCTATGTGAGGAATGAAGATAATTAAAAAAATTTTTTTTTAAATCTCAAGCTGAAGTACCTTATAATACAGCCACAAGCACTTGTAGGTGTGATTAGGAGTAGCAATGGGGGATACACTGGTTTCATTTGAAAAACAGGTGTTCTGTTCTCCGTACCCAATCTCCTTTCTTCTTTGTTAACTGCCCCCATCGTCCACAGAGACAAGACGCGACATTGCACCATGTATAATCTAGAGATTTGGAATTGAAGAATTTCAAATGTGTTGTTCATCTAGCCCTCTTTTATTTTTTCTTATAGCTAACAGATTAAGTACATGAATGAACCAATTTTATAGTGTCAATGTGTCTTGTATTATTTATTGCTGTAAATATGGTGAAGAAAGCACCATGAACTGGTTCTACCATTTCTGGTAGTTGTAAAGGTGCATTTTCTTGTAAACTAGGTGCCATGCAGCCGAAATGCATACAAGCCCACTTTGCTAAGTAACAGTTGGTAGTTTCAACCCACTGACTGACTGGTTGGAAAAAAAATGTGGCAGTTGGCCTTCTGTATAGATTTGCACCGTAGTAACAGTTTGGGTGCAGGTGAACGCTTTTCTAAAAGACTGTAAGTTGGAATCCAGTTGATGGCAGTGGAATATTTTGGCTGCTGAGGAAAGGGCGGGCTTAAATAAGAGAGACCTTTATCAGTTTCTTAGGAAAGGAATTCTGGTCCTTCAGAACACTACCACTTAACACAGATTTTAGAATGTACAGAAAATGTGTCCATGCAGGGCAGTGTGAGCCCACAGCAGAAGAGAAAGAAGATTGTTCCTGTCCTTTCCAGGAAATGAACTGTGGTGGGAATGCTTCTTTACAGCTTCGACAGCTTTTTGTAATGGCATTTGGTAGGAAAGTAGGATCCATTGTGGAATATGGCACACAAATCCTGTCTCAGGATACTACTCGCCTGGTGATGCTGTCTGGTAAGCACTGAGCTAACTGTGGCCCCAGTGATTCAGACCCACCGGGCACCGCACAAGAGAAAGATGAGGCTGTGTGCGCCTGTACAGGTCTATAGTAGTCAGAAACACTGCCTAGGATCCTTGATGGTAGCGTGGGTTATGTCTTGGACTACTAAGTACAAGGTCAACAATTTGAATCCACCAGCTTTCTACTGCCACCAACAATGACAGTCTTGGAAATTCACAGGGGCAGTTCTAGCCTGTCACTGTTAGTCACCACTTATTGCTCCAGGGCACTGAGTTTTTGAATGCGGTTGGGTTTTCGATGTCATGTGAATGTATGGGTCTTCGAATACTCCCTGGCATAAAATAACGTGCCCAGTAACAATTTGTGATAAGAGGAACAACCTTTCAGTAAGATTAATGAATCGAGTGACTGTATCTGGAAAGAATTCCTCTTATTTTAAAAATCGTTTTATGAGGGGCTCATACAATTCTTATCACAATCCATACATACATCAATTGTGTAAAGCACATTTGTACGTTCATTGCCCTCATCATTCTCAAAACATTTGCTCTCCACCTAAGCCCCTGACATCAGCTCACCCCCCCGCCAATGAACCCTTGATAATTTATAAATTATTATTTTGTCATATCTTGCCCTGTCCGACGTCTCCCTTCACCCACTTTTCTGTTGTCTGTCCCCCAGGGAGGAGGTCACATGTAGATCCTTGTAATCGGTTCCCCCTTTCCAACCCACCCTCCCTCTACCCTCCCAGTATCACCACTCACACCACTGGCCCTTACGGGATCATCTGCTTTGGATCCCCTTGGTTTCTGGTTCCTATCTGTACCAGTGTACATCCTCTGGTCTAGCCAGACTTGCAAGGTAGAATTGGGATCATGGTGGGGGTGGGGGCAGCATTTAGGAAATAGAGGAAAGTTGCATGTTTCATCGTTGCTACATCGCACCCTGACTGGTTCATCTCCTCCCCAAGACCCTTCTGTAAGGGGATCTCCATTGGCCTACAAATGGGCTTTGGGCGCACCCCCCCCACACACACACATTCACTATGATATGATTTTTTGTTCTTCGATGCCTGATAATTGATCCCTCCGGCAACTCGTGATCACACAGGCTGGTGTGCTTCTTCCATGTGGGCTTTGTTGCTTCTGAGCTAGATGGCTGCTTGTTTACCTTCAAGTGTTTAAGACCCCATACACTATATCTTTTGATAGCCGGGCACCATCAGCTTTCTTCACCACATTTGCTTATTCACATGCTTTGTCTTCAGCAGTTGTGTCGGGAAGGTGAGCATCATAGAATTTTAGTTTAATAGAAGAAAGTATTCTTGCATTGAGGGAGTACTTGAGTGGAGGCCCAATGTCCTTTTGCTACCTTAATACTAAACCTATAAATATATGCACATTGATCTATTTCCCTACCCTCATATATAAATATATTTGCATATGTACATGCCATTACTTAGCCCTTTGCCTCCCAGCTCTTTCCTTTATTTCCTTTGACTTTTCTCTTGTCCCACTATCATGCTCAGTCTTCATTTGGGTTTCTATAATTCCTCTTGGTTACATAACCCTTGATCACACCCTACCAGGCCTCCTACACCCTCCTTACCACCGATTTGGATCACTTGTTGTTCCTTTGTCCCTGGGTTTGTTAACACCACTACCTTCCCCGCCCTCTCCCATGTCCCTCTGGAACTGTCGGTCCCATTGTTTTCTCCTCCAGATTGTTCATCCAGCCTATCTTATTTAGACAGACCTCCGTAGATAATAACACGCACAAAAACAAGATCGAGCAAAACCAAGCAACAATATACAAGAAAAAAAATCAACAAAAACAAACCAATGACAAAAAAAAACAACCCCAAAACAAAACACAACAAGAAAGAAATGCTTGGAGTAAGTTCAAGGACGGTTTGTTGACCTTTAGGAGAGTTTTCCAGTCCAGTCTGTTGGGGCACCACGTCCTGGCCCCAAAGTCCACCTTTGGCATTCCTGGGGACCTCGCTGTTCTGTTCCCTTGCTGTTCTGTTGCAGCCCCTTAGTGTTTTGGCTCGGTGTGGCGGGATCAGATCAGGTGTGATTCCCACACTGTGTCTCTGGTGTTGTCCCCTGTAGGGCTATGGGTCAGTGAAGAAGTCCTCTTATAAGTCTCACAAGACTTATACACCCCCACCCCCATATGTTGTAAGTTTAAGGACATCTTTAATTTTTTTATCTGAATGGAATTTTGATATGCTGATATTGCAGATTTTACAGATGCTTTGTTTATTAAATTGTCTATTCCAACAAGAACGCAATATAACTGTTATGGCCTAAGGAACTGATTTTTCCCAAGGAAGTTCCCTAACTTTGGAAAAATTTTAGCATAGTTCCTGTTAAATTTTGTATTGGGGTGGGGAGATCTAAAATAACAGTTTTGCTTTAGGAGAAGCTGGTGTTATATTGCCAAGATGAAATAGAATTCTGTACCAGCAGGTCTCAAAACACTTTGGTCTCAATACCCTGTTACACGTTCATGTTTACTATGATTCCAAAGAGGTTTTGTTGATGTCGATTGTATGAGGTTACGCCTGAAAGTTTGTAGAAAAATCCCATTACCTTTTAATTCCAATTTTACACCACGTTTTGGAAGCCCTCTTGGAGACACTGATGTTTTTAACACATTAGAAATGACAACTATATATGTTAGTTTGATTAGAAAGTAATTATATTGCTAATCAATTCATTTTAAAATAGCAGTGATGAACATTAACACAAATAACAATTTTTATGAAAATAAGTATTCTCCAAGATAAAATTTAGTGAGAATAATAGCATTGTTTCTTGTTTGTTTACTTACTAGAAAATCAGGTGGATTTTACCACTTGTTTTGCGTTTATATGTTGAAAAATGTTGGAATAGTTGAATTATATAAAGTGCCTGAAGTATGAACAAGTTCCATTCCCAAGAATGTCTTTAAATTGAATTTGTCTTTAAATTAAATTAGTTAGAGCTTGTAGCTAGCATTAATTAGTCAAATGTTTGTCTTCATATGTAGTATGTAGCCTACTTCTGTGCATTAAGACACTTCCACATACAGTACAACATCTTCAGCCAAGTAATGTTTTAGTGTGGGCCACAAGGTATCACCCATGTGTGATGAACCAGTGGGCAGACCTCAACATCTTAATACAGGATTTGCTATAGTTTAGTATGGGCTGTGCATAAATTTGATCTTTGTTAACTTGTATATGAAGCAATACCAGGCCTTAACAGAAAGCATACCAAGGGGGCACCTATGG